TTCTGTACAAAGAATAATCAGTGTTTTATCACATTCATACACTGATGGGACACACATCAGAGGCAATGAGGAGTTCAGTGTCTTGCCCATGGACACTTCAGCATATGACTGCTGGTGGAATCTGAAATTTATGTTATGAATTATTTTAAACTTTTAACTTGAAAGAAAAAAATATAAATAAAAGAATGAAAGGACCTCCAACTCTCTCAAGTGGTGGACGATTGTTCTAACCTTTCAGCCACAGCCACCACAATCAGTGAGATGTTTCTTTACTTCAACCAGCAAAATTTAACGGCATAAGACTCTGTCGCTGTTAGTTTGTGAGTCAGAAACTAAAACAGTTTGGGAACCACTGATTTAATCTTCTTGGGGCATCCAAGGAGCATCTGCTCACCTGACCTCAGTGACCTTTTAAGAGTGTGCAAAGGAAGACTTGAGTGGTAAGAAGGTGTCACTATAACTAAATAGCCAACAACTCCATGACCCGAAAAGGAAGAAGCAGGTAAATCTAACGGATGGATGGATGGACGGATGGACGGACGGATGGACGGATGGAAAAAAACAACAAATAATCTTGAAATTGCAACTCTTAAATGAATGAGTAATGCAGAGTTGAGAAGATGAGCTGGAGTTGAGAAGGCAAATATTCACAAATACTTAAATAAAGATGTGGGAACTGCTCCTGATGGATGACAGAGGACATGAATGTCCATCTATATAAAATACTAAAGTAATTACATAGAAGAATAGAAGCAGTTTTCATTAGTGCATATGTTTAAAATACAATATTTGTACTTAATTTTATAAATCTGATATACAAACATAAATAAAAATTGAAAACAGCTTAAAAAAATAGTGAGCAGATTAGCATTAGGTCAAGATTGTCTTTTTTTTTTATCCTGTCTGCCCAAATTATGCACCATATGCATATATGAATTTCTTTGTATAAATTTGTTATTACAATATTTTTCTTACTACAATTTGGCTTTTACAGTTCGATATATGCTCGCAGCTACTCCTTCTGAAACATGCTCCCACAGCTACGGTCCCACAGCTACGGACTGTGACAGTAGTTACTGTCAGTCTGGATCAAATAAAGGCATCAATTATTTTCTGAAAATCAGCAAAAACAGGAAAGAAAAAGAAAGAATCTCTCTTCAACAACATCATTTACTTCTTGGTTATTTTAAAAGTATTTTTGCTCCCCTTTTTTAAACATTTCCAAAAACAAAAACTCATCACTGTGTGCTCAAAGGTCAAGATGGTGCAAAAATTGTTGTTCATTTATGTTAAGAAACCCAGTTCCTGCAAAACTTCAGGCAATCTATGAGTCAATCAACATACAAATCATTCCAATTAATTCCAGTTAAGTAAAGTCCAAATCAATCCAAATATGATGTACTTCTAATCAGTACTCTACAAATTAGTGTATTAGTATTTATAGAAAGCCAGTATGTATTAAATTAAATGGTCTGGATAAAAAATACCACAGACTGCATCAAATCTTCATTCTGAATCCGTCCTCTTGAGGACATCTGACAGTGCAGAGAACAACTCCGGTTTAATATAAAGAGACTTGCAGCAGATCCAGACTCAATCCTAATCTTGTAAATGATGCTCCTGCTGGTAGAAACTGACATCTGTCTGTCAGCGACTGTCACTGAACGACAAAGTGTGTGCTGCCCGTCTGAAAACAAAAAACAAACAGTCATTGCTGAGAGATGCATCAAGGACAGGACTAGCAGAAAACAGGAGCATCTGTTAAAAACAGAAAATCTGGACTCCAACATGTCAGGAGGAAACAGCCCAAGACTGCCACCTAGTGGAGGGACATTTATCTCCAGTGAAAAAACTCCCTTGTTCTTCACAGATGAATTGTTCACAGACTCCAATCAGACAACAGTAGTAAAGGGAGTAATACGAGCTGTGTCTCGGTTAAAACCAGGGCGTCTGATGGAGCTGAGTCCCAGTCCCCTCGGTCATCATTTCCTTTCAGTGAAAGCAGCGAAGCGTGGCAGCAGTGAGCACAGCCCAAGGCTGCAGGGGATAATGTACATCTCACTCACAGGACAAAGCCTCCTCTCAGGAGGACTCTTCACTCCTTTGTGAAAATGTGCAGGGACTGATGGAAATGTTGAACAGTCCAAATCCCAAATGAAATGTACAAGATGGAGTGATTTACACAAGTCCCAAATGGTTTATTCCCCACCCACAAATAGGAAAAATAGTTTGGAAGTAATTACCTCGGAGTAATTATGACCGCAGGCAATAGAATATTATAGTTATCTTATCATTACCTGCTCTGTTTTAGAGAAATAATAACAGGTTTAAGTTGAATTACAGTTAAAACAAGTTATGCAAAAATGCACTTTCAGCAACAATGATAACTGTTTAAATGGCATTATTTAAATTTGGGCTGCACAATATTAGAAAAGAAGGAATTCTGAGATTACTCTAGAATATTGCAATAAACCCACATATTTTAACTCCACTTTTTATTGGTCATGAAAGGTGGATAACCATGTGACTGTCTCTGTATACATTTGTTTGTCTGTTTGTCTGCAAAATTCCTCAGGAACAACCGGGCGGGTTTTAGTAAAACTTTCAAAAAGTATAAGTGGATGTACTTGTACATTTGATTAACTGTTGGAGTCAATCCCTTTCAAGATGGCCGTCACAGACCAGATCAAGCTTAAGAGGTACGCAAATTATTATAACTCAGTCAAGTTTGATAATGAGTTAAAACATGCATTGTAGCAGGAACTGTGCATGCAGTTCAAATCAGACTGGATGATGTCGAAAGCGGATTGCAAAAGCTGGAAAACCTTAGCAACTGTTTTAGCTCGACAATAAACAACTGTGTCATTTGCATAGAAATGTAAGGATGCATCAGGGATGCTCTGACCTACATTACCTATGTAGATTGTAAAGAGGGTGGGTCCTAAGATTGAGCCTTGTGGTACACCATTGTTGACTGTTAAATAACTGGAGGAAATACCATTATGTTAGAATTTAAATGTAAAATATTGTATATCTTTTCATTTTTTCTTTAAAACAACTGAAAAATACATAATTTTGAATAGATTCTCTTGCCAGCTGGCTAACACTGAAGCCAGAAAGAAGGTTGGATTATTCTGTCATTATTGATTCTGATGTGGAAAGAGTAACAGAACATCAAGTGAGAAAAATCAAACTTTTGTTGATGAACCTGCAACCATAAATATTGGGTATCTGACTCGAGTTAATGTATCAGCTAAAAGAGGCCCGTGCCTCGGACAAAGTTTTTAAATTTTGGCTCCTTTTGGTAACCGAGTTTGACACCCCTAAGTGCTGACAATGCACATCTTGAGATGACACAGCACTTTTAAACTCACCCGTTCGTCCTTCTGGAAGGTGACCCTGCGTGGCTCTGTGCGTCCTCGGCTCAGTCGATGCACCGTTTTGTCTTTGAGCAGCGACGTGTAGCCGAGATGCTCGTAGATTGGATTGGTGGTCATTTTGGCTATGTACTCGGCGGCCTTGGTCTCAATGTAAAGAGTGATGAGGGCGTCAGTCACCAAGTCATGGACAGACTCAAACCTCTTCTCCCCGACAAAATGCTTCCCATCATAAAACAGCCTGTAGTTGAGGGTCTGGGGTCCAAACCTGGGGAGTAAATTACGGAAAGAGTTGAGAGGAATTGTAGAGGTTTAAACGAGCTGTGTGAAAGTGTTTCGAGCTTCTGTTCTGTATGCTGATGCATCGGCACCTTAAGGCCAAGGTGTACGTCCCTGGCTGTCTCTGGCTCTCCCTGATGAGGTAAGCACCTTCTGTCCTTGCCAGCAAGTCGTCTGCATGATCTCGAGGGATCATTCCATGAAATCTAAAAAAGAACCAACAAAAAAAACAAGGTGACTGTACCTGCATTCTTTTATCTTCAAAAAGCAAAAAACGTGAGGAAACATTTAACCCACTCCATTTGAGAAACAAAAAAACGTCACTGCAGTGTGATATCTGGAACAGTAAGAACTGCAGGAACTCATTTCAACTCACTCTCTGCCGTAGTACTTGGGTCTGCTCTCCATCTGTAAACCAGAGGAAGAAATATTGCCTGTGACAGTGTGATATGAAAGCTCAAATTAATAGCTTCGCAAATTGTTCTTAAAGCCAGCGTAAAAGATAAAAGACTTTACATCACAGGCCAGATCATCTCCATCTGGGCCCGTGCGTCTGTTCACAACGAGCAAACCATAAAGCCCAAATCACAGAAGAGGGAGATAAATTAGGGGCAGGGCAGAAACACAGCAGGTAAAAAACATGGCCAGATGCAGGAAATTAATAAAAAGCTTGTTAGCATGTCAAAGCAGGGTGTGTCCAGAGTACAAATCCTCTCGAACATATGACAACAAATGTACTCATCGTCATTTTTTCATAATGTAAAATATTTTCTTATCTTTACAACACGGTCAGAGTGGGGCAATCTGAAGGAGGTTAACAAGTATTTTTCATTATTAAGACCTTTTTTCAACAGCTGATAATGTAGAAGCTCACATAATGGACTTGTTAAAATGTAAAACTTCCATTTTTACTGCATTACCAGCCAGCTGCTAATCTCACATCACCAGCCTGCAGCTTTCACTTTGCTCACCAAAGTGTGGCAGGACTCAAATTAGGATGAGACGTGCATCAGCTCTGCTCCGTTTTACAACAGAAGACAGACGGTCCCTCAGAGAATGCAGCCACAAGTAAAGATTTAACTGGTTTATTAATGCACCCCAACGAGTAAAAGTCTAAGTTGAAAGAAATATCTAAGTCCCTGTGTTTCTGTATAACTCTATTTTTGTGCTTCTTCTTCCTTCTGCTAACTTCAGCTTAGTATGATCCTTTCAGCTTATTTCTGCAAGTTTCAGATTTTTCTACTATTTCAGCTAGTATATACAGCTTCTTATGCTAATTTAAGTCTTTTCAGCTGATTCCACATTTTTTGCTCTCAGTTCAACCTTTTTCAGCCTAATTCAGCTAAAATGTGCTCTCTCCACTTCCTTCTGGTAATTTTAGCTTCTTTATGTTTTTTTAAGCTAATTGTCAGCTCCAAAAAAGTTCAGTCTGGTCCTCTGGACATGAATGTCCAGAGGACCAGACTGAACTTTTTTGGATTTTTCTACCTGGATTATTGAACATGCATCAGCTAATTGTCAGCTGTTTCTTTTTTCTCCTAATTTCAGCTTTTGTCCAGATAATTTCCACTTTTTGGAGCTCATTTCTGCTTCTTTCAGCCTAATTGGACAAACGTTATTTCTGCTTTCTTTTGTAAAGTTAAGCTTGTTCTATCTTTTCAGCTACCATTTTAGCATTTTTTTAGCTACTTTCAGCTGTTTTCATATAAATTTAAGTTTTTCCACTACTTGCTACTTTTAGCCTAAATAACTTTTTTATGCTAATTTCAGCTTGGTACGCTCCTTTTAGCTTTTTGTTTGTTTGTTGTTGTTGTTAATGAAATGAAAAGAAACAGAGCAGTTCAGACAAACCTTCAGCTCATCAGTCTGGTTAGAGTTCAACTATGTTTACTTAGTCTTTTCAGAAGGAGTGTGAGTTAAACAAACCAGTGAGTTACTGTATTTCTGAAAAGTTATCACTGATTGATCTCACTTCTTGCTGCCAGACTAAAGGATTCTTTTTCATTTCTGAGGCTGAAAGTTTGAGAGCGAAAGTTGAGTTTAACATCAGACACGGTATCACTCCTCTGTTTGGCCCATTTGTGAATGATATTTGAAAAAAAGAAATAAATGGGGTCAGCAGGTGTTTCAGTGTGTCTAACCACATTTTCAGAGGCAACACTAAACATTTATCATAATGAAAACAATCTCAGGTGGGATTACTGCATTACTCTACTTCCTCAGACAGCTGAGACGAGCTGGTCTGGGAAGCTCAGTCCTCACCTCCTTCTACAGGTGTGCAGTGGAGAGCATCCTGTGCTCCAGCATCAACGTGTGGCATGGAGGCTGCACAGCTGCAGAAAGAAAAGCTTTGCAGAGAGCGGTGAAGGCTGCACAGAAGTCTGTTGGAGTCAGCCTCCCCACCATCACAGACATCTACACCTCCAGATGCAGGAAGAGGGCCACCTGCATCATGAAGGACCCCACTCACCCAGCACACACACTTTTTGCCCCGCTGCCCTCAGGAAGGAGGTTGAGGTGCATTAAGTGTAGAACCCCTAGACTGAGGAACAGCTTCTACCCTGAAGCTGTTAGACTCATGAATCTCTAACCAGAATAATCACTGTAATGCCGCATTAATTGGTGATATGTCACTTTATATGTTCTGCTGATTATCCATGATGCTGATTTCTTACCCATAAGTTGTTACAGTGTATCCATACCCATCTGCTCACAACAGACTCATGTTCAGGCTGCTGTTTAATACACCATACTATATTACATTATTATCATTTAGCATATATCTTAGATCCTTGTATACTGTGTCTTTTTTATACTTTATAATTTTTGCTATTTTTGGGTGTAACTGGGTCCTTGAGTGCACAATTTCATTCCACCTCATGTACCACATGTGATGTGAATGATAATAAAGAACTTTGAACTTGAATCAGGGTTGTGACAGTTTTTCATAAGCATGGCAATAGTTTACAGTTACGCAGCTTTTTTTTTTTTTTGTCTGTGATTTGTGCAACGCTGCCAGAACAAGTTAAATAAGTTTAATGATCCTACTATTAAAGATAACAGCCAACAGGTTTAGTTTATTATCCTTCATCTGAAACTGAAGTCCTGCTGCTCAGATGTGTGATATTTTAATTTTGGGGTGTCAGGTTTTGCATGGTTATATAAATGACTTGATCTTTTATTACATGTTTACAAAGGAATAATGGAAAATGACCCCTTCAGCTCCTCACAGTGCTCTGTTTTAATTGTTCTTAGACTCACAGTTGTACTGACCTCCTGAGGACACGTGACCCTCTTTGGTCTTGGGGCTTCCTGCTGTAGCTGGTACACTACAAGAGAAAAATGCAAGTTAATGAGATTTGCTTGGTTTTCTGAGCTGTCAACAACCCAGTCATGCTCGACAAGATGTAACTGCATGCACATAGAGGTGTAAAATCCAAAATAGGTACTGCAAAGTTCATAAGAAGGAACCAAACGTGCTGTGAAGCATTAATAGACAGGATTCTACTGATCATTGTCATAAATTAATTCCATCTTTTGAAGCATATTGAGAGATCATTCCAACCTAGAGCAGTCTCTAGTTTCAGTGAGTTTCTGTGAAAAGCAGTTGAAGCTTTTGTTTTTTCTCCCACACTGATAACAGCTGTGCACAATGCTTAAAACTCCCTTTCTATCTTGTGGCTTCAGTCTTCTTGCTGTCAAACTTTGATGATTGAAGAATGCCCCTTAATAAGGCTTTTTTTTCTGACAATAAAAACAGAAAAAAAATAAAGTTGTGCTCCCCACTTTCTTTGTGTTTTCTTCCCTGAAGAGTGTTTTATCATTTCTGTAGGAGGCATAAAGCACTGCTGCCTCTTAATAGACTTCAGCTTCTGACGCTGCTCTGAGTGCAAACGTATCGAGGGACGACGAGAGTCATCACTTTAAGGATGCAAATTGAAGAATTGTGGGAATTAGATGACAAGAGCCATATATACTAAATCTATGTGTTTTCCATTGTGATGGTGTGCACTTGTGTTTACACACATCCCTCCACTTTAGAACAAAGGTATCACACTTTGCACGCTGTGTGAACTCTGTATATCAGATGCAGTCTACATTTGGAGACAAATTAACTGCAAAACTGGGATGCTGCATAGGAATGAAAAATGAGTTTATGTTATAAACAATTTAAGAAGTAAGAATCCAAAACTTGTCAGTGTAAAAAAGGAGCCCAATGAATCAACTTTTGTTCAATTCAATTTATTTATATAGCGCCAAGTCACAACAGAAGTCATCTTGGGGTGCTGAACAGAAACACTCATATATAATTTACCATTAATAATCTGAGGAGCAGACTGTTTTGAGTTTAACTTCATCACAGACTCTCATTTTGAGCAAACACAAAGGCGACAGTGGAAAGAAAAAAACTATCTCGTGAGGAAGAAACCTTTAACAGAACCAGGCTCAGGACAAACGGCCATCTGCTTTGACCAGTTGGGTTTGGTAGGAACAGATACACAATGGCAGGTCAAGAATCACATGTTAAGATAGAAATAGTATCAAATGAAGAATATTTAATTTTAGCAATTCATTAAAGGAAATTAGGTCAATTTGTCCTCTAGTAGTCTAAACTCATGGCAGCATAACAAGCCAACCCTAACTATAGGATTTATCAAAAAGGAAATTCTTAAACCCAGTCTTAAAACTGGACAATGTGTCAGTCTCACAGACAGAAACTGGAAGTTTGTTCCACAAAAGAGGAGCCTGATAACTGGAAGATATTCCTCCCAATTTGCTTCTGGAAACTCTAGGAACCGCAAGTAAGCCTGCAGTCTGAGAGCGAAGTGCTCTGTTTGGAACATATGGAACAATAAGATCTGTAATATAAAATGGAGCTAGGTTGTTGAGAGCTTTGTAGGTTAGACGTAAAATTTTGAATTAAATTCTGGACTTGACAGGGAGCCAGTGGAGAGAAGCTAAAATTGGAGAGATATGAACTTTAAGAGTGGCTTCTTTCACTAAATCCATCTTTGAATGCTCCCTGTCAGGACCTGAAGCCTCAGTAGTATTTCAAAACCTGCTTTATTTCTATACCAGTCTAAAAGAAAATAGAAACGTTAAAAAACGGACAATAATTGATCAATAGTGACTTTATCTTGCGTTTGGAAAGGTGTTATTGAGCAGTTTTACTGCTGTGTGAACTCCTCAGTGCAGCAGATTCTCCAGGCAGGGGGAAGGGAGACTCCTGACTGTGAACTTTCATGTTTTGTCAAGCTGACTTGAGCCAACCAGCAAGACCTGGACATCATCCATGGCTGTGATGCTGACACCTCTAAAAATACCTCAGCTGAGGCTGGGAGACTTGGAAAAGAGGAGCAACAATGGCAAATGGACATTTTAATTATAGGAAGTAAAAGCTTTAAATAAATAATATGTATATACAACTGGTGGAACAAAATTTGAGACAGCAGACACAGTTTAGTGGATTTCTGCCTAGCTAGGCATCAAACACACTCAGAGGAGTTGCACCGTTTCCTCCCACACGGTAAAAACGTTAAACAGGGTGGGCGCTCGGAGGAGCTTATTTTAGCCGAGTCTTTTTGCAGGTGGAACATCTTATTTTCCTGAGCGCCGGTAACCTATTTTACCCAGAAAACAGGAATCTGCCATGTTGCATTTGTGTACGTGGGCGTGTGCGTTTGATTGTGTGTCTTTTGTGTGCCTTTTTGACTCTGCAGCGTATCTAATTTTACCGTGCACAACAAGACCTAATTCTTTAAGGCATGGAAGCTGCTGTGGTAATTTGTGGGGCAAGAATAAACATAAAAAAGGCCAAAGTTAGGTTAAAACGCTGTTAAACAGCAAACAAAATAAGTTATTTACTCACAGTAAGACTTCCATATAGGTGGTTGATAATCATCAGTGTCTGCAAAACATAAAAAAACAAGCAGGTTCAGTGGTTTTTCAAATATTCTTCCATTAAAGAGTCCTGGTTTGTTCCCCGGAGTGTAAAATATGACTCCTTTGTTGTAGTTCTGTCTGTCCTGTTTATCGCACAGTTATAATTATGCATATGGCTTCACGCTGTGCAGCTGTCTCTTGGGACGCACCACTGAAGACACCTCCAATTATCGTTACAAAGTCAATCAATATTCAGCACATGTCCTCTCATCGTGTCGTCCACACCTGCCTGTAAACACGACATCACTGTGTAGACATAAAACACAAACACGACAATCAAGCTTAAGAGAAGTAAATACAGACAGTTTCTCCCCTGGGAAATCTGCTGGCTATAGTTGGGACACTTAGTGGATTACAGGACGGAGAGAGCTTTTGCTTTAGATTAATGGAGTGTTTGCCCCAGAGAAAGTCACACTTTGGTGACTTATTTATTGACTTATAACGCACCGACAATATTTACCCCTCAAATGCTATAGGGCGCTGTCTGGAACTAACTTCTACAACACACTGTTACTCAGAATACATATGTCAGCACACATTTATCAACACACATGGTCTAAATTATCTCCTGTTCATCGCCTGCTGCCAAAAGCTTAAGGTAACATCAAAGTCCATGCTTAATGATCCAGGTATACGATCCAACATTGTACCTGACTGAAAAATGTTGGATTGTATACCTGGATTACTGAGCATGGACTTTGCTGTTTTCAACCAGTTTGACACAACTGTCAACAAGGAAGAGGGCCGGCAATGGAGGAGGGGGCGTACCAAAGAGACCATTTTAGCACCAACATAACTGGTTTGTTCCACTTTGGAGTAAGCTGTTGGGGGAAGAATCAGTTTTGTTGTGTTTCCTTGACTGATGAAGCCTTCCGGATCGAAGGCGAAACGTTTCAGCACAAAAAAAGAAACTGTCCAGATGACCTGACTGAAAAATGCTGGATTGTATACCTGGATTATTGAGCATGGACTTTGTTGTTAGTGCACTATGTGAGTAAGCCACTTATGGGACGAGTTTGTTGTGGCTACTTGGGCTGATGAAGTCCGTTGGATGAAGGATGAAACGTTTCAACAAAGAAAGAAACCATCCAGAGGACCTGACTTAACTTTGCTGGCTTAAGGTAACATGTTTTTGGCAAACACAAAAATTTAGCCAGTGTTAGACATAATGAGTTAAAATTTCATGTAAGTCACGCTCTATACATACTATGAGTACAAACATCTATTTTAAGATATGTTTGTACTCATGTCACTTGTTACAAGGTCTCAGACTGAAGAAGTCTTTTGGATAAAAGACAAAACATTTTGACAAACAAGAATCTGTCCAGAGGTCCTAAACTAATCTTGTTAGACTTTTCTACCTGGATTATTGAGCACGCATCAGGACATATCTTTCAAGATCTTGTTCTTATGGTTTGGACGTCTTTCTGCAAAGTTGTACTTTTTGTGGTTCTTCAAATTCCTTCAGCAGTTCAAAATATGCATGGTTAATAGATTTTCCTACATTTGTTTGAGATGTCTGCATATTTAATGTCAGACTGTCAGCCGTATGCCGCCTCTGGCCCAGTGTGTAACTCAAAATAAAGCTCACTGTGACCCTACAGATTACAACTGGTGTCAAAATGACTGATGGCAATGTAATTGATAATTCTTGTTTAAAAATGTTATTTAAAGGTTCGATAAGTTTAAGATGTAATGACTTTTAATTATGAAGTAGATTCAAACTATGCAAATCTCTTTTTTTTTTTTTTCCAAGATCCAAGTGAACAAGTTTGAATTTATCACACATTTTCTCTAATCCACGCAGCGGAGGAAGTTAGGATTTTGAGGAAGAATCCAAGAACCACCAAGGCTCAAGTCTGCCCTGAACAGGAAGTTGCTGGAACTATTGGAATTATTGTGCAGCCATAGACTGAGAGGGTGCTTCAAGCTTCACTGTCGCTGCCCACAACGACAAACCACATAACTTCTTGAGAAATATTTCATAGTCAGAGGAAAGATTAAGCCGTTTGGCCACAATGACTAGAAGTGGCTTTGAAGGAGTCATGGCGAGGCATCAAACCAAAGAATACTGTAGCAACTGTAAAGCATGGTGGTGGTAGCGTCATGCTGTGGTGCACGTGCACAAACAGGATGAAATAAATAAATTATTCAATTTCACCTCAAATCAACAGCATGAGGGTTGAAACTTGAACACAGCTGGGTGTCGTAATAGGATTCTAAAAACACATCAGATCTGGTTTCTGATTGGATAAAGGATTACATTAAGCTTCTGAAATGGCCTTTTTTAAACCTCAATCTCAGCCCTGTTTAAAAAAATAATAAAATTGGAGCAATACGCTTTAAAGCCAGATCCATGCCAGAAATCCAAACGATTTGAACTTTTCTATTCTGCCAAAACAAATGGTTAACAACCAGGTGAATCTTCACCAGCGTTAACAACCAGAATTCAGCCAGCAGCTTTTTGATGGATACAAAAAACATGTGGTGAAGGTGCAACTTGTTGAGGGACAAATATTTATTTTTTAAACCAAATATTCACACGTTTGAAAGCATGGAGTCAGAATATATAACTTTAAACATGTGTGTATTAGAGAAAATCCATAATAAGTTCTAACTTATTATCTTAGTTATTGATTTTAAAAATCACAGAGGTTACAAGTATGGTCATCTCAATCTGGAAAAGGAACAATTTAATTAAATCAATAAAAAGTCACAAATTAATATGACATTTCTGTGCATGAGTGAATGTAAACGTGTGGCTTCAGTCGTACAAAAAAAAGTGGAAAAAGCACAAGATCAAATAAACGGCATTGGCAGAAGCTGAAGAAAACACGCGAGCCGAAGATAAAGAGGAAAAAATCTTGACAGTTTTCAAAATATTCTTTTATAAAACTTTGTTTCAAACTTTCCAAAGATTTCTGGCAAATGCAAAGAAGGCGAAGTTAAAAACGGAAGCACAGAAATGCAACAAAAGCAGTGAGAAAGACAAGAGCAGAATATTCAGAAATATGCTTTACAGATTATATTCCAGACTCCACCACCTTTATTTCCCAGCCTTCAGAATAATCTAATCTGTAGTCAGAGCAGCTGAGACAGACAGAGTTTCCTCCATTTGTTCTTCAAGAGATCATTGCTGTCCACAGCTGCAACCTCACATAATGAACCTGTATATATCCTATTTGTTTCCCTTCCGTTAAAATAAACTGCAACAAATTAATTATCCTTTTGGGAACAATTAAAGTAAAATTCAATCTAATTAAATTTTATGGGGCAAGTGAAGCAGCGGTTGTTGTCACACCTAAATCTGCTTAGAAATTACAATTAATGATGGTTACTAATCCAGACAGAGAGCTTAAAGCCTCTGGAGATAAAAAATTACAAAGATCATAAAAATTAAGCAGTTATATGAAATAAGATTAATCAGTCATACACACACACATGCACACGCAAAATCAAGATAAGGTATGACACCAAATATCCATTTTTGTAAGAACAATCCCAGTTTAGGGAGCTAAGTTACACACAGAACAAATAAACAGGATTTTGTCTGAGTAAATGCCACGAGCAGTCTGGCAGACAAACACAGAGCTGCTGGGACCCCTCTGGTGTGGCGTGTGAAGCTTTGAGGACAAAAAGCCCCACAGAAAAACAAGGGATGAGACAATGTAGAGTAGAGTCTGGTGGAACCCTGGTGTTAGATAAAAACACAACAGCCCCTATTATTTATCATTAACAAACAAGAATATAAGATTTAATTTATGCCCATTTCTGCCTGAAGGTTGTACTTCTTACAAACAAGGAATTAAATTACCATTAATAGATTTATTATTTGTAGTTTGTTTGTTTAAAGGACACAGCAAACTAAAAGCTGTTACTATAACAAAGAGCATGGCTTCCCAAAGTACGGCTCTCGGGCCAATTAGGGCCTTCAAAGTGACTTTATGCGGCCCATGACTGGAATTTTAGAATGGCATGGTTTTTGACCCACCAGCTAAGAGGCTGATGCAGATGGACACATTTAATAAATATTAAGGATGATTGTTTAATAAATATGTAGTTTAACAGAAAACTACATGCGAAACAAAATTTAAATGTGCAATATTAAATACATGTTTAATCGTCTTTAATTAACCCCAATTTATATTAGGATTCTAATTTCATAGTAAAAAAATATTTTTTTTTTTTAAAGACCACAAACTTTTACATGCCTTTATCAAAAAGTGGACTTGTGGGTCACCATTCATAAAACTTGGCTAAAAATAAAAAGTATCCATCCATCCATCCATTCATCCATCCGTAATCTTTTACTCGCTTCTTCCTTTCCAGGTCATGAGGGTCATTGGTGCCCATTTCCAGCAGTCACTGTGTGAGAAGCAGGGGACACTCTGGACAGGTCTCCAGTCCATCACAGGGACACACAGAGACAACCAACCATTCACTCTCTCACTCACAACTAGGGACAATTTACCAATCAGCCTAACATGCATGTTTTTGGTCTGTGGGAGGAAACCGGAGCACCCGGAGAAAACCCACGCATGCACGGAGAGAACATGCAAACTCCACCCAGAAAGGCCACCCGGACGGGATTTGAACCGGCGACCTTCTTGCTCTCTTCCAACTGCACCACCATACTGCCTCATCTCTAATCAAAATGTTTAATTTTTGTGGATTTGTCCCATTTTATAAAAAGGTTTGGACACCACTAATTTGGAGCAGTGAAAGAGACACACATAAAGCTGCACGCTCCCTGTTTAATATCTTTTATTCCTGATGCAGAACTCCGTGCGCCGCTGCAGAACTATTTACTGAGTCATGTTGATCCAGAGGAAACATGTTTTTTTTTTTCCACAAAACGCATTCCTCCGCACTCATCAGCAGATCAGAGCGCCGCGCCCCTCTGGCCACAGGGAAAGAAACAAAGCACGAGGAGACGGGAATCAATCGATGAAAACCAGTGAGCACTTGT